TCCTTGCAGTGAGTGTTTATGTTATTCTTAATGTTTTTCTCCTCTGGTTTTAAAGTTATTTTGTTTTTTCGCAGTGGGTATCTTTCTGCTGCTGTATTTATTCTGCCTAGGGTTCATTGAGCTTTTTGGATCTGTGGGTTATTTTCTACATACCAACTTTGGTTGAATTTTAGGTATTTTATCTTCAATTTTTTTCATTAGACACTTATTTTCTTTTAAGGGAGTTAGTGCAATTATTTTAGCTACTTGTCTCTGAAGTCATTGGGTCTGTATTCATCTTTGTTTTTCTTCATGCTGTTTCACTTTGAGTAATTCCTGTTAATTTTTAAATTTTATTTATCAGTAAGTTTTTTTTCTATGTAGTTTTACTAATGTTTTCACTGGGTTCTTTATTTTTGTAGCCTATAGTTTTCTACCAAGACTACTCACTCATATTCATTTTTTTTCTATACATACTTAGTAATAGATTAATGACTTTTAATTTGTTTAATGTTGTTAATCCAACATTTATTGGAGTTTCCAACTATTATCGGATACTTTTTCTGTTTATAGCCATATCTTTATGCTTCTTTACATGTCTAGTCATTTTTTATTTTATACTGTGTATGATAAATATGGTACTGTTAATTTTGTCTTGGAACACAATTTGCTGGAAAATCATCCTGATTGTTTTCAAATTTTGATTTTTAAAGTTAGAGTAGGTTGAGAGCAAGGGTCAACAGAAATTTTCTTAAGTATTTCTTACACAAAATATTTTAGGCTTGTGAACCATATAATCTCTAGCTTAATTTATCTCTAACCTTATTGTGACAAAGTAGTTGTAGACATACATGTATGAGTGGGAATTGCTGAATAACTTAAGTTCATTAGGTATAATTTGCTGAAATTTGGCTTAGAGTATCTTTTGCTTTACAGAGTAGTCTTCTCTCTCTCCTATTTTTTTTCCGGTCTTGGGGCCTGAACTCTGAGCCTGGGCGCTATCCCTTAGCTCTGAAGTTCAAGGCTAGCACTCTACCACTTGAATCACAGCACCACTTCTGGCTTTTTCTGCCTGTGTGGTGCTGAGGAATCGAACCCAGGGCCTCATGCACACAAGGCAAGCACTCTACCACTGAGCCACATTCTCAGCACCAATCTTCTCTTAAGAAATAACATTTATAATAATATTGTTGGGGTTTGAGCACCTTGCACTTACTAAGCAGGGGTACTATGCCACTTGAACCAGTCTCTTTTTACATTGGTAATTTCCTTGATTTATGTCTGGGATGGCCTAGACTGTGATCCTCATACTGTGCTTCCCTTTGTTGTAGGAATGACAGATGTACATGCCACTGTGCCCAGCCATTGTGCTTCTCCCTTAGCTTGGAATGACACGTGTGTGCCAGTGCCCCTAGCCATGGTTGAGATACATTCTTGTGAACTTTTAAGCTCAGGTAGCCCAGCCTTCATATCACGGCCTTTCATTTCCCTTTCTTATCTGTCCCTTCCCTCTCTTCCCCTCTCCCTCTCTTCCCCTCTCTCTCTTTCCTTTCTCTCCTCTCTCCTCCCCCTCTCCAATTTCCTTTTCCCCTCACCTTCTTTCCTTTCTTTGTTATTATTATATTTTTTGGGTCCAGTTGTGGGGCCTGAACTCTGGGCCTGGGTGCTGTCCCTCTGCTCTTCAGCTCAAGGCTAGCGCTCTACCACTTAAGACACAGCACCACTTCCAGCTTTTTTCTTTTTGCTTATGTGGTGCTGAGGAATCGAACCCAGGGCCTCAGGCATGCAAGGCAAGTGCTCTACCACTGAGCCACCTTCCCAGCCCCTCTTTGTTATTTTTTAACATCCTTAATTTTGTTTATTAGTCATTTAAAACTTCTAAATTATTACCTTGCCCATGTAATTAATTGTAAACCTTCTGTGTGGTATTTTCACAATAAAAACCCCCCCAAACTTCTAACTTTACATAAAGTTCAGGAAATGAAGTATTTCATAGTGGTTAAAGAAAAGGACGTGGTAAGGATGAACAAATGCAGCAATGGCACTCACTGGACACTCTTGCAAATGAACTATACAACTTGTGGGTGGAGACAGAAGGGAAAAACTGGGAGAGCAAGGGAAGGGGTGACATTGGCCAAAATACAAATGGACTCTATCTGACTTAGGGCTGTAACACCTCCCTACATCACCTTTATACAAGTCAAAAACTCTACCACCGAGCCACCTTCCCAGTAAATTAAAAAGGACATGGATTTATAATTTCTGAATTCGGATCTTAGCTCCATTACATTCAGTTTTGCAACTGGAGAAATTACTTAGCTTTCTTAAGCTGTGCCTTTGTTTCCTCATCTGTGAACTGGGGGCACCAAGAGTATCTCCTTTATAAGGTGGTTTGGGAGCTTGAAAGACAGCTGAAATAAATGGATCCAGCTTATAGTGTGGTCCGTCCCCAGGGTCTAGCCCCCATTGATGTCTCTAATATGTTATTACATTGTTTTAATAGAAATGATTAATCAGTCCAATTGTTTTGGATAATTATGAAGTATTTGCTGTTACCAGTGGTTTTTTTTTTTTAATCTTGTTTCTGGAGGATAAATTTGAGGGAGCTGATAAGTTGTATTTATGAGCACAAATGCAAAGGTCAAGCACAAGGACTTGGAGAATTACATTGGCTTGATTCCTGGCCCCCTGACCTAATTCTGTGACTCAGAGCATGTTGTTTTTTTGTTTTGTTTTGTTTTTCCTTTTTTCAGCCCTCACATTTTGAGATAGGTACTATATACTTATTTTACATATGAAATGAGCTCTAAAGGGCTAAGTATAATAATTTACTTAGACTTATACAATTGTACATGAGACAAAGGAATTTGAACCTGTGATTACTGACAGCCACCCTGTTCTTGAATACCCAAATAGTAGTGACCTTTCCTGGATTTTTTTTCTAAGAACTTTTAGAAATTACTTATTTTGTTACTAATTCTGGATCAAATCCTACTTCATACAATGAAGGTTTTGTTTTCTATTTGAAATTTAATGGATATTAACATACCAACTTAAAAACTTGGCACAATGCTAGGAACACATTTTCCTATAGGAGAGACTTTAGTACTGTGCAGAAATAAAGGTACATCTTAAGTACTTTAAATTTTTGGCTTAATTTTAAATGTAGTTTTTCTTTTTATCTGATTATAAAAGTAATAGAATTTTGTACTTCACTTTCCACGGACACTAGTCTCAGAATTAATGATTCACTATTTTGTAAAGTGATTTGCTATTTTGTAAAGAACAGTCTTTTTATTTAGAATAACAAGTAGTCCTTAACCAATGTACATTTTAAAACAGATGAGAAGTATCTATATTCTTTAAAGAGATAAGTCAGCATAAGTGTGACAACTTAACAATATTTTTCTTTCAAGATAGGCAACCTAGAATGTAAAGAAAATGGATAATTCTGAGATTATACTTCAAAATTATTTGCATAATGAAAGTTTAAACAAAAGAAGGTCCTAGTTTTACCCATTCATCTAAATCTTGGCTTAAATAGGACAAAACAATTTATCTTCACATTAATATGTAAGTAAAAAGCCTTGTATGCAGTATGTTGAGAACACAGTCCTACAGCTGCTTTGGTTCATGAAGTTAAACTGTATAAACACGTTAGATTGTCTCTTGAAAAATGATAGGTTTTATGTCTAGCATTTAGTTAACTTTAATATATATGATGGTTAATTGAATTTAATGGTACTGCTATTTCTCTCTTTCTCTCTTGGCTTTGTCTCTGTAGATAAAAGTTTTTGGTTAACTCATTAGAATCTAGATCCTGGCTTGCTCCTCTTACCTTTAGTTCTCCTCCAACCTGTCTTTATTTCTGCTGAGTTTGTATTCTATTTGTTTTTCAGATGAGACCCTTTTTGCTCTTCCTGCTGCATCTGAGCCTGTGATACACTCCTCTGCAGGCAAGTTCTCTCTGCCAGCCTTTATCTTCTGTGTATTCTAACTTTTTGCTCTAGTTGTGTTAACTCTATACAGAGTAGTTTGGATATACTGAAAATTAGTATCATTCCATTAGTATCATTAGTATCTACTGAAAAAGTGGAAATTCACATTTATATGGGAAATGAGCAGAGCTTGACTAATCATTGAACTATGTAAGAGAACTTGGGTTCTTGGTTTATATTTACACATTGACAATATGTTTATACATTGACAATTTGCTTTCTTAGTTTGAACTATCTTATGCCAGAGGATATTTTTTAATGTAAATTAATAGGATCATTTTTCTATATTGTCAAACTCTCAAATATTCTCTTATAAAACTGTTTCAAAGTAACTCTTACAAATGAATAACCTTGAGATTTTTTTCTCAGATTTCTTTTTTAAAATCGACAAATATTGTATTATTTAAAGAACATAATTTATGTTCCAGTATACGTGGAATGATCAAAGCAGACTAATTAATTAGCATATCCAAACCTCAGGTGCTTCTTATTTCTATTTAAAATCTTTCTTGGTGATATTGAAATACATGATACATTATTAACTATAGTCACTATACAATAGTCATGCACATCTTTATAGACAATAGTTCAGCATTTTCAGTAAGATCCAAGCCTACTTGTACTTACTAATTAAATGCTATTAACACTTCATTTTAGTTAAGAGTAAGCCTTTACTAACACTATTATATGAGTCTGTCATAAAAACTTGCATTAACTCTGAGAACACTGGCATTCTCTAACTTTCCTTTCTGTCCATGGCCACAGAAAAAATTATGGACTTGAAGGAGCAGCCAGGTAACACTGTTTCGGCTGGTCAAGAGGATTTCCCATCTGTCCTGCTTGAAACTGCTGCTTCTCTTCCTTCTCTATCTCCTTTCTCAGCTGATTCTTTTAAAGAACGTGAATACCTTGGTAATTTACCAGCAGTATCACCCACAGAAGGAACACTTCAAGAAACTTTAAATGAAGCGTCTAAAGAGTTCTCAGACAAGGCAAAAAATCCATTTGTAGATAGAGATTTAGCTCAATTTTCAGAGTTAGAATACTCAGAAATGGGATCACCATTCAGTGGTGCTCCAAAAGCAGAGTCTGCTGTACTAGTAGAAAACTCTAGGGAAGAAATAATTGTCAAGAGAAAAGATGAAGAAGATTTGGTTAGTAGCAATATCCTTCATGATCAACAAGAATCACCTATAACTCCTCCTAAATTGGTTAAAGAAGACAAAGTTACATATCCAGAAAAAACAAAGGACAGTTTTAATGAAGCGGGAGTTGCAGTAGAATCACCCATAAGGGAGGAATATGCAGACTTCAAACCATTTGAGCGAGTTTGGGGAGTGAAAGATACTTTCAAGGGAGATAGTGATGTTTTGGCTGCTAAAGTGAATGTAGAAAGCAAATTGGAAAGTAAAGAGGATGAGAAAGGCTTGGCAGATAGCCTTGAGGAAGGAAGTCCTGAAAAAGATAGTGAAAGTAGTAATGATGATGCTTCTTTTCCAAGTACACCGGAAGGTGTGAAAGGTGGCTCAAGAGCGTATCTTACCTGTGCGCCCTTTAGCCCTGCTACTGAGAGCATCGCATCAAACATTTTCCCTCTGTTAGAAGATCATACTTCAGAAAATAAGACTGATGAAAAAAAAATAGAAGAAAAGAAGGCTCTAACTGTAACAGAGAAGACAACTAGTGTCAAAACATCAAACCCTTTCCTTGTGTCCATTCAGGATTATGAGACAGATTATGTCACAACAGATAATTTGTCAAAGATGACCGAGGCAGTAGTGGCAAACATGCCTGAAGGTCTAACACCAGATTTAGTACAGGAAGCATGTGAAAGTGAGTTAAATGAAGCCACAGGTACAAAGACTGTGTATGAAACAAAAATGGACTTGGTGCAAACATCCGAAACCGGTCAGGAGTCACTCTACCCTGTAGCACAGCTTTGCCCATCATTTGAAGAATCTGAAGCAACTCCTTCACCCGTTTTGCCTGACATTGTTATGGAAGCACCATTAAATTCTCTACTTCCTAGTGCTGGGGCTTCTGTGGTACAGTCCAGTTCATCACCATTAGAAGCTCCGCCTTCAGTTAATTATGACAGTACAAAGCTTGAGCCTGAAAATCCTCCACCCTATGAAGAAGCGATACATGTACCACAAAAAAAAGTTTCGGGAATAAAGGAAGAAATTAAACAGCCTGAAATGAATGCAGCTGTTCAGGAGACAGAAGCTCCTTACATATCTATTGCATGTGATTTAATTAAAGAAACAAAGCTTTCCACTGAACCAAGTCCAGCTTTCTCTGCTTACTCAGACACGGCAAATGTTGAAAAGCCAGTGCCTGAGCATTCTGACCTAATGGAGGATTCCTCACCTGATTCTGAACCAGTTGATTTATTTAGTGATGACTCAATTCCCGAAGTTCCTCAAAAAGTTGAGGAGGCTGTGATGCTCATGAAAGAAAACTTCACTGAAGCTTCATCTGAATCAATAACGGAAAGTGGAAAAACAGAAAACCTCAGTGCTTCACTATCTGAGGGGGGAAAGCCATATCTGGAGTCTTTTCAGTCCAATTTCCATACCATAAAAGATGCTCTATCTCTTAATGAAGTTTCCCCATTAAACCAAAAGGGGAAAATTCCTTTACAGATGGAAGAGCTCAATACTGCAGTTTATTCAAGTGATGACTTATTTACTTCTCAGGAAGAAAAATTAAGAGAAAGTGAAACATTTTCAGATTCCTCTCCAATTGAAATTATAGATGAATTCCCTACATTTGTTAGTTCCAAAACTGATTCCTCTCCTAAAGTAGTCAGGGAATACAGTGACCTAGAAGTATCCCACAAAAGTGAAATTGCCAGCGTCCAGGATGGAGCTGGGTCAATGCCCTGCACAGAATTGCCCCGTGACCTTTCTTTCAAGAACATACCCCAGAAAGATGAAGATAAAGTTCATATCTCAGATGAGTTCTCCAAAGATAGGTCTGATGTATCAAAAGAACCCCTACTGCCTCCAGATGTTTCTGCTTTGGCAACTCAAACAGAGATAGGCAGTATAGTTAAACCCAAAGTTCTTGCAAAAGAAGCTGAGAAAAAACTTCCTCCTGACACAGAAAAAGAGAACAGATCACCATCTTCTATATTTTCATCAGAGCTGAGTAAAACTTCAGGTAATCAACCCATACTCTGTTTCATGCTTTCATGCCACTTTTTGACTGACCCTGGAACACCCACTACATTCTGTTTCCTATAGTGTATTGATAGTATCTAATATGCCACACTGATTAGAATTCTTTTCCATTTTCTCAGTTATTTTTTTTCTACTCCTTGAACTCACCACTTACTATTGCTCTTAACTTTTCCAGTTGCTCTTTAGTCACTTTTATATTGCACCATGGAACCAGACATTCTTTAAAAATCATAATTGGCTTTTCCCCCTTTAGTGTTTCCTCAAGTAACATGAAGAGCAAGAGATATAGAAACAAAATGATTGCTTGTTTTTATTGTAGAAATAATTTTATATTTGATTTGTAAAAGATGAACATTTCGTAGCATGTTTTTACTATTTCAATGTAGTACATTGTTCCTCCAGGGAGACATAAAGTTAAGGATAGTGAAAAAGGTGGTTTTAGCAAATTATAGATGCTATCATTCTGAGAAGTTTTGATTCTGATTCTACATTTTCTGCTTACCTTATTTGCATAAAGTGATTTACACACATTTTAAAATTTAGTTTTCCAATTTAGCTATGTCTTTTTTTATTTTTTTACTAAGATGGGTAGCAATTACATTGTATTTATCAAATATACTTAAGTATTGGAGATGAATAGCAGTCATTACCACCAGATCATTTAAAAATTGTTGTATTCTAAGAAGAGGAGTTTCTGGACATTCACGTAATGAGTTGAGAACAGAGATTGCCTCTTTGATGGTTATAAACATGTAAGATAAGGAGAAAAGCCAAAGATGGCTCCAGGAATTGTGGGAGCCCAGCATGTGCATGTGTGAATTTAGTAGTATGAGAAGCTGAGATATAGGGAATGTGAAAAAATGAGGTGGGTTTAAGAAGAGAAGATAAATTCAGATTAAGTGTTATTTTTGAGGTACCAATAAGATGTCTAAAAATTATGGATATTATAAATATGATAGTCTTGAGAGAGCCCTTAGTTCAGTGTGTAAATTTGCTATCTACATAGAGAGAGAAATTAGTCACAGATACCTGCTCCGGAAAACCAAGAGAAAAAGATTTCAAGTTAGAAGTGATTAGTGCTCTCATACCAGGCAGATCAGTTAGGAAGTTAGTTAAAAAGGAGAGAAGATGTTATGTTAGCAAATGGTGTAGTGCGCAAGACTAGGGACAAGGAGTGAATAGAGTGGAACAAATGGATACAAAATGTAGACAACTCTTAAGAACATAAGGGGAAATATGAAGAGAGAATGGAGTGGAGACATTTTTTTTGGACAACTCTGATTCTGGGAGCTGATAAGAGTTGGGATCTTTATTCCAAAGGGATTGGAATGAGCTCCAGTATTTAACAGAAGGTATTAGACATACAGAAGAAGCATTTACCGCTTTGTAGTGAAAATCATGGAAAGTATGGCTATTGATATTGCTGGGATTTTGTGACGAGGCATATGATGGTTAATGTTCATCCTTTAAAGCACTGTATTAGGTAAGTTGCCGAGAATATAAACTGGAACATACTTGGGTTGACTAGGTGTGACTGGGGAAAACAAAGTCATTGTTTTAAGAGTTCAGTGAAGAATAAATGGTGGTCTATCTAGATTAAATTTTTTCTAAACAAAATTTTGATGTGATGTCATAGTTCACACATCTAATCCCAAAAGGATCACAGTTTGAGCCAACCCAGGAAGCAAAGTTCATGACACCTCCTCTCTTTGGATAGGTGGCTGTGGAGACACCAGCCTGCCATCTTAGATACATGGGAGGCGGAGATTGGGAGGATCTCAGTTCCAAGCTAATCAGACAGAAAAGTCTTCAAGATTTCACCTCAACAGAAGACGTTGGGTGTTGGTGATGTGTTCCTGTCATCACAGCTACACCAAGAAGCCTAAAATAGGCAGATTATGATCCAGGCAAGAAGTGAGATCTTCTCAAAAATAACCAGTGCAAAGGGCTGGAGATGTGGCTCAGCTGTAGAGTGCCTGTCTAACAAGCTTAGGCCCTGACTTCAAACTCTAGTACCACTACAAACAGAATAATAATAGCTAAAGGAAGTTATAGGCCTAGGGACCAGGGCTCAAGTGATACAGTATCTGCGTAGTAAGTGTAACCTCCCCAAGTTTAGTACCTCCAAGCAAAAATTTTTGCAGAAGAAGGTACATAGGCATGCAAACCCAGGACCTTCCACATGCTTTATTAAGAACCTGAGCTGACTCCAGTGACGTTTCTTTAATTATGTTATACAGCCTCCTGTTTAGCTGGGTTAACAGATGTGTCCCACTAACCAGTTTAAGACTGGTAGTCCACTCCTGTAATCCTATTTACTGGGCATCAGTAGCTCTTGTCTGTAATCCTAGCTATTCAGGACACAGAGATCTGAAAGATCAAAGTTCAATGCAGGCCCAGGCAAAAAGTTTGTAAGACCCCTGCCTTAGCTAATAGCTAGGTGTGGTGACATGTACCTGTCATCCCAGCTATTGTGGGAAGTGTGAATAGAATTGCAGTCTAGGCCAGCGTAGGCAGAAAGCAAGACCCTGTCTCAAAAATAGAAAAACAGGGATGGAAGTGTGCCTCAAGCACAGGCACCCAAGGGAGAAAACAAAACAAAACAAAATATGGATCTTCCCAACTTTTTCCCTAGCTTGACTCAAACGGAGATCCTCTCAAACCTTCTCTTCTGTAGCTGGGATTATAGAAGTGTATAGTCTTAGTGGCAGGACAGTAAGTCAAGGGAGCTGAAGGTAATAGGAAGAGAGTAGATTGAAACGGACTCTGGCGTCTAAGTTGAGAGAGTACATTGGAGTAGGATACATTCAATGTTATATTGGATCTCAGAACCCCTTATAGGTCCAAGAGATTGAAAAATATATATGTTCCATAAAGAATAGATATAAATGAAATATGTTATTAAATAAGTAAATTGTTGTTGAGAGTTTTATAGACCTGAGTTTTAATCCTGAGTTTTTTCCTCAACTTGAGTAAATGTTGTAACAATCCGTATATGTTTCAGTGATTTTAGTTGTAGGAGTTCTCTCTCAAAGACTTACTCATCATGAAGTCAGGGTAATAGTTCCTGAAGAAATCTGAAGTAATATGTGCTCATTGTACATCATGAGAAAGACAGAAAAGCATTGAGATGAAAAAAATATATAATTACATTGCAAAGACATAGTCATGTAAATATTTTAGAATATATTCTAGTTTGTTTTCAATTTATGCATTTATTCTACAAGTGTAATGGAAGTGAATATTGTACTAAATTGGAATCATTCTTCATGTCATGTATAAACTTTAAAATATTTGTAGCAATATATTAAATAATGTAAACATTTCCATCTACCATGTGATTTTGTTTTTTTAAATACCTAGTGGTCCTTAGTATGGATATAATTTAAGCATTCAGTTTGTTGTAATTAGAACCTTTAGACATCCCAATATTTAGTTTATAAATAATGGTAGTTTATTAGACACTGTACGTTTACATTTTTTGCATATCTTTAGTATCTTCTAATGGAAACAAAAACATGAATATGAACTTTTTTAAGAATTGAAAATTTTTTATTTCTTAAATGTTTTTCCAAACATTTTATATTTGGTATTTTAAACAAAACTGTCACCAGTTTGGTAGAAGGTATGTGCATAGATTTGATTTTTTGATTGTTATCGAATATGAATATAATCAATATATTTATTAGGTATTTTGTATTTTGATTTTGTGAATTACATATTCATATCTTTTGCCTATTTTTAAATGTAGGTGTTTATTTTTTTCTTATTGTTCTTTTTTTTTTTTTTGGTCCGGTCGTGGGGCCTGAACTCTGGGCCTGGGCACTGTCCCTCAGCTCTCAGCTCAAGGCTAGCGCTCTACCACTTGAGCCACAGTGCCACTTCTGGCTTTTTTCTTTTTGCTTATCTGGTGCTGAGGAATCGAACCCAGGGCCTCATGCATGCAAAGCAAGCACTCTTCACTGAGCCACCCTCTCAGCCCTCCCTTGATTTTCTAAAGCATTTTATTTTACATTTTAGTGGAATTTTCACTTTTCACAAAGGAAAGTCTTTACCTTTTTAATTATTTACTATTTCATTTTTAAAATTCTGACCTATTTTATTTAAAATTATTTTGGATTCTGGCTTGAGGTAATTTGTCTTTGTGCTGGTGAAGTTGTTTTTCCTATTTCCATCAGACCCATTTAGCCCTTTAGTTTCAGGCAGCCATACTATGGTAGCTCAGGACATTATGCATAGTAGTTTTTGCTAGGTTGGTTGTCCTCGGTCAGTTGGGCAGCTGTAGGCTGGGTGTTGGTGCCATCTAGTGTTGATGGGAAACAAGTCCGTGGATTACTTACAATTGATTATCTGGAGTAAATTCAGTCGGGCAGAGAATTTAGTGTGCTATAGATATGTTACAGATAACTTTTAAGATGAATTTATAAGCATATTTGAATTTAGATGGATTCTACCCAGTTGAACAAATGCTAGAGTCAAGCTGTCATTTAAGATTTTAAATGATCATAAAGGTTTTTCTCCTCACACCCGTGTACTTTAATGAAAACTTGAAAGTTAGATTTATTGAAAGCCTAGTGACCACGTTTTGAATTTAAAGATGCTTTAGGATCTTTGGGAATATCTGTGCATTTAGATTTTTAATGTACTGCCAATATTTTCATTGACCAGGGTCACTTTTAATTTTTTTCTCTATGGAGTTTAGCATTTATTTTAGCAACTAATACGAAAACATATCTAGACTTAAAAAATGTTCAAGTTTTGCTATTTTAAATTGTATTGTCATTAATTTTCTAAAGTAAAGTCTTTATTTTTTAAAAAAGATTTATTTCAGTAATGTTGTGCTATAATTTAGTCCATAGAGGGCATTCTATTACAACATACTACAGCAGGGTTTAAAAATTGCTCAGTACCTCTCAGTTATGAAACATTGCTTAATTTTGTACCTCTGTATAGCTCAGAATTTTGAAAAACGTATAAGAC